TTCTGCATGCTCGAATTTTCCATAAATGCATTCACAGTCTAGTTATAATTTATAAATTTAAATTGATAGAATTTATATTTAATACAATAAAGTGTTGTGTAGAATATTTTGTTTGATGTGTTTCTGCATGCTCGAATTTTCCATAAATGCATTCACAGTCTAGTTATAATTTACAAATTTAAATTAATAGAATTTATATTTAATAGAATAAATTATATAGTAGCAATTGTGTAAATTTTATAAGGTGTTCAAGATATGAGAGACTCTAGTGTATTTACAAATCATTTATTTCATGGATATTATTTCGCAGCTTTCCACCAAATATTCGAAGCGTAGCCTATTGCACGGTTGCTGAACAGAATAACCGGAAGTCTTGGGATCGTTTGTGGGAACTCTACGAACAATCGACATTTTCCGCAGAAAAGTTTACCATTCTTCAAGCTTTAGCCTGCACTACCGAAGACACTTTCCTCGAAGAGTAAGTTTTTATTAATCTTCATACTCAGAATGAATGATCGTCTTTTCTAACTTGAGTTTTAAATAGCGTTAATTCAATTGTACTAAACAAAATGGAAAAGTGAAGAAACTTGCGATATACCTGGATCGTGTAACATTTCGAAATGAGTTCAACTTTCGAATTATTTAATTTGTTGAGTTTTATTCGACTTTTATTCTTACAATTAGATATTATGAACTTATAACGATCGTAGAGAAGAAAGTAAAAAATTTATCAGTCTATTCTGAGTGTATACACAAAATATAAACATAAAACTTTCTGAGATTCAATTAGTACAACTATCATAATTAGACTGCAGATTTTTATTTATAGGAAATTTTAAGGTACGAAATTCCACAGAATAATATAATTTGAGGAAATGTGGAATAATTCTTAAATGCATGTCCATATTTTGATTGATAAATCTACAAATTGAAATATGTAAAAAATGTTATATGTCTCATATCTTTTATACATTAGATTATATATACATTAAACGATTATTATAATTAATAAATACTAAATACTTATATACTTAATACTAAATATACATTAGATTATACATACATTAGAAGATTATTCATGATCCAAAATATCAACATGCGTTTAAGGATCACTCTGCATATGTAATATCTAAAGTTCAGTACTTTCTGTAATATTTGACGTAAAATAAAATTTCCAACAAAAATATGAATTTGTATAAAAGTCCGCGATCTGATCACAATTATTTGGGTAAAATTTGAAATCAACTTGAAAATATATATGCAAGTTACAAGTTTCTTGCACACACACACATATATATAATGCATGCAATTATCTTGTTCACTTCTTTCTGTCAAAGATTGCTTCAAAATGCACTTTCAAAGGACAAAGTACGATTCGAAGATAGCTCGAGCGTTTTCACTTCCGTTATCAATGCAGGCCCGAAAGGAGTTAAATTCGTAATAAAGTTCGTTAAAATGAATTACGAAAAAATGCTGGCTCAGTAAGTAGGATATTTTAAAGCGTGTACGAAAAACTGTTACACTTTTGTAATAAGATTAAGACGATTTCGTGATACTTTTTCTTCATAGCTTCAAACAAGTTTCCAACATCAACAGCATCTTGAACACAATCGGAAAGAATGTGTTCACCAAAGAGTTAGTCGAAAGGGTAACGTATTCCCATTATCATTATTTTCGTTTGCACGAATTATTTTTCTACTGTTAAATATCAATTGTTTCAACGCTGCCTTGTCATAATTAACGAAATTTACAAAATCGCGAGCTACGATATTTTACAAATTTATAAATTACCTGATTACCCTATTTGAGGAAGAAAATAAATAAAAGAGACCAACTAAAGTAACTTAACTGCTATCAGTTAGATATAATTAGACTTTGCAGATTTTTCATGCATTTTTAAATTTTCACAAACATCATTGACGAACTGGAATCTGAATAGAAAATTGTGTCTTCTACGCTCTTTTTTCGAAATTTATTTATTTATTTCATATATGCATTTTTGCACCCTTAAATTCACAAAAATCCTCAGTTCAGTTATAATTTGTCAAGTATATGTGTTCCGGATACTGATAGTTCAAAATATCATTCGAAATATCGTAATCATCCCACATTTCTCGTCGTCTATGAAATTTTAACTTTCCCTTAGTACGTCGACCTAGTGAATTACTTGGAGGAGAAGGAGGTAACGAAAGAGGCGAAGGCTTACAGGAATCACGCGGAGCAACAATTGAAATGGGGCGAAGAGAACATCCCGCAGATATTCCACTGGATAGAGATACGCTATCCGTCGATGGATTATCGTTTACCAAATACGTTCACACCGTCGAAATACAATCTCACGTTGTCCCCGGATCTCGTCAGTTTCACATTTACCGGAAGAGTGCAGATAGAAATGAAGTGTGACGTGGAAGCATACGTGTCCCATATAATGCTTCATGCCAGCGAGCTCAATGTCAAAGGGTTGTCATTACGCGCGAAGAATTCGAGTCTGGACGATGAAAACCAAATGATACTCGAAACAAGCCAGAACAACAAGACACAAATGATCACGATATTTATAGCCAAGTTAATTCAATCCGACGAACTTGTTCTCGACATCACGTTCGAGGGTATACTGAACGACAACATGGCAGGGTTTTACCGAAGTTATTATTTCGATGAGTATGGGGATATTCAGTGAGTATAAACTTTCAATGTTTTAATATTAATAAGGACAAGAGTCCGAGATATTTTAATGTTATGGCGATAAGAATCTGTTAGGTGAAGATATTGTAGTCTCATCCAGTGTTGAAAATGACGTCACAGTAACATCATCGATTATTGAATACTAAAAGTTATATTAAATTATATGTAATTTTATTAAAGTTAATAACCAATAGAAACGATAGCTAATCACATGATATTACCAAGTAACATCACCAATCACTAAACATTAAAAAACACATGAAACTATATTATATCATCACTGAAAATTACACAACAATAACGTCAAACGCTAAATTGTTCACACAATTAAAGACCAGATTATTAAATAATTATATGACTTCATAACTATCATAATTTCTTATATCGTTAACACTCCTTAAACAATTAACACGCGATTGTCTTATTGCTTAGCAATTTACGATTCACGATTTTCTATGAAACGATTGGAGATCTTCATTCAATCAATTTTCCAACGTTCCTTGATTCTAGTTGGTTGGCCACGACTCAATTCCAGCCGACTCACGCGAGGAAAGCTTTCCCTTGCTTCGACGAGCCAGCTTTCAAAGCGCAGTTCACAATAAGCGTAGAAAGACCTGACAATTACAATGTGCTCAGTAATATGAGACGCGTCAAACTTATTTCATCGAAGTAAGTATTTCACATTTAGTTAGAAAAGAAACTATTCGCAGAGGTTTTATTCATTGACGACGATGAACAAATTCGATACTTAAATTTTCGAGGTTTTTCAAATTTTCATTCATTTTCGAAACTCTTAGAAAAGTGTATCATTGAACAAACGAACTTCTATAAAAACTATTATGCCTAAAGTTTTTTCCCAACTTTTAAATTTTGCTGTAAATAGATTTTTCATACCTCGATAAAACAATCTTCGACGTATATTACTTCGCGTTTCATTGATTCAATGTTGCTTTCATTCATTAATTTTCGTTGCTTACTTTCTCTATTTTCTACGATAAATTTTCTCGCGAATATTTCATATGGACTTGTATTCTCAGTTCTCCAGGTCGCTCTATCGACGTTTTCGAAGAGTCAAAGAACATGTCAACGTACCTGGTGGCATTTATAGTCAGCGATTTCGAGCCAGTGACAGATGCGAATGTTCCTTTGAACGTATGGGGCAGACGAAATATCGTTTCGAAAGGCTCTCGAGCGAAAGATATAGCGAGGCAGGTTCGTGATTTCCTGGAAACAGAAACAAATCATACGTACACCTTGCCAAAATTGGATTTAGTCGGAATACCAGATATGGGTGACATCGGTGCCATGGAAAATTGGGGCCTCATCACATTTAGGTAAGTCACATTGAATTATTCCGACAGACTGATGATTTTCAGGTACGTTCGTTTAACTTCTGACTGATTTAACAGAATGTACAGAAGGTATGATTTCTTATGGTGGAAATGTTAAATATGACGAAGAATTTCGAAACTGGTGCAATTTTTTCACCGTTTTACTGAAAAGTTCAAATTGTTACTTACTACAGTAATTTAAAAAATTACAACTATAATATTTTGTATATAATTATAACAGAAGTTTTAACATATTTATAATATAATTTTTACAATTAGAACAACATATTTATTAAATCAATAATTTTACAATCACACGTAGTATCAGTTAATTATTATGTTCATAGTTTCGCAAGAATAATTTTAATCCCGTTGTTGAATAAAAATTTATTGTGTAAACTATTTTCAGAGAGTACGGCCTCTTCTACGACGAGGATGTGACAACAACCAAACAGTTGGACTATATAATCACTATAATTGCTCACGAGCTTGCTCACTCGATGTTTGGAAATTTAGTTACCTGCGACTGGTGGGAGTATATATGGTTAAATGAAGGTTTCGCCCAGTATATGCAATGGCGTCTTGGTGCTTTGGTGAGCCTTCGTTGAATTGAATGATACGTTCAACCCTTCCTTCACGTGCAATACTTACATTCGTTTAAATTCATCATAGTACGCGCCAAACAACGGCTACGAGGAGCTGTTCGTGGTTGACGAGCTACAAACAGCGATGCAAGAGGATGCTTTATCGACGTCACATCCCATGAATAACCCAGTCAACACGCCTAACGAAATCAAAAGAGCTTTCGATAGCATTGCTTATAAAAAATGTAAGTTTACTTGTTTGTTTATTTATTCTCGGCCATACCTATTTTTTTTTTTTACAAAGGACATGAAAATTAATGAACGTTGTGCGTACAACGTTGCAATGAAAAGCAAAATACAATTTTCTGATATACGTAGGTGAAAAATAAAAATTGGAGCTTTTAAAAATAAATTCAGTTTCACTCGCTTCAGAAATTAATTCACATCTTATTAACCCTTTGCACTCCGCTGTCGCCGCAGAGGCGACACTGTAAGATAAG